GGGATTTGGAGTTCCTGCCTGGGTCCTGCGAGCTGTGGTCCTGGAGAGAGCTAGTGGACAAACTCTTGTCTCTTCTGCCTTGGTGGCCTTGTCTACTCCAGCCACCGTGCCAGTTTGCTGACTACAGTGGGTCTATGGATGGAGCTCTTTTTACTGTAGATGGCTGCATCATGAAAGAAGCTTTTTATAAATATCTGGAAAATGTGAACTGTTGTAAGATACGTGATTAGTAAAAACACCTTGAAATCACAAGGACATGCCTGTGGTCTCTTTGAGGTAGGACTTGATACTGCCCAAAGGAAGATTTTCACTAAGAGTATATAAACTTTGAGGAAGAATTAAAATACATTTCTAACTAATTTAGCAATAACGACCTATTTTAAAACTAGACATTAGTTTATGTTATGTACGTTTAAAGAAGAAGATATGAGAGAGGGTTGTAGATTCCCCTTGGGAACTCTGAGCAGCAGAGGGGGAGCTGTAAGTGTGTGAGGTAAGCCCTGCTCACTTGGGCTGTACAGGTGAATGGAACCAGGCTTCCCCACCTTCCTGATTTCTCTGTGGCTCAATTTTTGCCCTCTCTGGTTCTGGATATATCTTACCTTCCCTCATTTTATTAGTTATTCTGTGTCTTCATATCTATTTTTTGTCTTTTTTTCTTCTCTGCCTCTATTTTGACCTCTGTTTCTCTCCTTTTCTTTTCACCATCTCTCTCCATATGTCTCATCTGTCTCTCAAATGATCAAAAGTGAGCTAACTTTTATGTATTTGTTTTATTTATTGAACAGTTTCTGTGTTTTCTCCATATGCAAAAGTAGACAGGTGGATAGAATGTTTTCTATTGATCTGGAAAACAAGTGCATAGTGTTTTTCTTATTATTACTCTTGACTGAGTCCTGCCTCTGCCTCCCATCCCTTAACTCAGGACTCAGAATCAGCAATAGAATAAAAATCCTGCCCTAGGGCTCCTCACATAGAGCAAGAGAGGACCTGTAGCCATGGCAAAGTGAGGGGCAAAGCGTGATGGAAAAGCATGCAGGATGTGGTGCAATTGGGGCAGATGGAATAGAGACCCCAGGCCTTTCCACCAACAGCTCTACTACTCTGGCCTTTGCCCTGACCCCATGCGTGAACTATCCCCAGACCTGAGCTCACTGACGTGTGACTCCTCCACACTTTTGTTTGTGCAGATGCCCCTGCCTGGCATGCCTGGGACAGGTTCGGTTCTGTTCACCTGGGCAACACCTACCCATCAGCTGAAGTCTTTCCTGATCCACGGACTCCTCCTTCATGCCCCACTGTGATCAGAGGCAGAGTCTCAGTCATCCTGGTTTCCCTAGTGCCCAGCACAGGGCCTGGCACACAACAGGTATCCAATCAACACATGTTGGAAAAATAAAGAGTAGAAAGTCTTTTGCCTTCCACTTTACCAGAAGGATAACAAAGTAGGCAAATTTGGCTTTGGCCTTGAGGTTCTCTACTGGCCCCCACTTTCCCATCCCTGGATCTGCTCCCTGCCTGTCAATCTGTCCTCCATGCCCTGCTTGTCACATCCCACCAACCTCCATTGTGGAATGGAGCCTCTGGAACTCCCAGCCATACAGGAGAAAGCTGTCCTCCACTGGAGCCCCCAGTTCCTTCACCTGCTTGACTTTGTTTGAGCCTCTCATAGTTGTTTCAGCACCCCTGTGACAGACACACACCTGACAGCCCCCATACCCCACATAGCAAGCCATCCCTTGAGGGTACATCCTCCAACATGACCACAGATTAAATGAGCAAGTGAAGGCATCTCTGCTGCCCCTGCGAGGAAAAAAACAGCCAGAACCATCATTGCTGCCTGCCACAGGGAGGGGAAGAGTTGGAGCCCAGCTCCCAGCATGGCAGGGCAGTGCAGGCACAGATGGTCACTGGTCCGCCGACATGGGATCAAAACGTTACACTACCTTTTTGGCCAGTGCGTCTCCCGGTCCATCTTCGCCTTTCCCAACACTTAGCTCTGACTGCTTGCAATTAGAATCTGAGAGGCAATCTAAGAGTCAAGCTGCATTATGGAGAACCCAGGACAACTGCTGGGCATAGCTCATCTTGTGCAGAGCGGCTCAAATGCCAAAGGTTGGTTCCTTCACCTACTCAGCTGGGCCTCACCAAGGAAATAAGATCAAGAAAGTGGTGTTCGTCTTTAGCATTTATTTATAATTGGAAAAACTGTTTGTTTGTTTTCTGAGCAAGCACAGACCACAAGCACGTCACAATCAATTGGCTATACATGAATATTTTTGTCATTCTCTTACTAACAGCAGGAATGAAATAGCACCAAGAGAGGTGTGTGCTACACATTACATAGACAATCTGTGGTATGCAACAAAACCCAGGCCACAAAATTGTAATAGACACTTCCTGTCTGCTCAGTGAGGCACAGCTATACGGGCTGGGCGGGAGCCCAGGAAGAGTTCAGAAAGCTGGGAGAAGCCAGTGCACAGCTTTGGCAGGACTTGTGCAGGCAGGCCAAGCAGACAACAGGAAAGTCTCTATCCTGGCCCTCTGGTCAGGGGAGTATAGGAGCCACAGAAAGTGTCCAGAATTAGCAGGACAGGCATAGAAGCTTGGTGGCCTTCAAAAAGGCAACACCGAACACTGCTTGAGGAACCAAGATCAGTTTCATTCAGTAGTTAGGGTTACTGAACGAGACTGGCTGAGTTTTATTTGTAAACAGTAGAAATCAAAGGAAATTTCTTGCCAGTGAAGTGACATTCAGGAGTCCAAGTAAACCGAAAAAGGTTTTCCCAATTTGGGTATGTGAAAAAGAAGGGGACACTGACAGCCTGAACGACATTGTACAGGTCACCAAAAGCCTCAGGAGAGGCAGGGTAGGAAATTCAGACCCTGGGGCTGCGAGGTCAGTAGAAAAGCCTGTGGGGCCCTTACAGCAAAGTATGGTTTGGACAACACCAACTCAACTCTCATTGTGCACGTGGGGCTGTCATGTGCACGTGTCTGCCTGCATTGCTGTGGAAACAGATTTCTTTAGGCTGCCCACCAAGTCTAGCACAGTGCCTGGTATAAGGCATTCAGTGTGAATGCTGAATGAATGATCCCCTGTGCATTGTAAACTCTGATTACTGCATCTGCAAAACGTGATTCTTCTACTGCAAAACTCAAGTTGTGGCTAACAACCACATCTGACTGATGCTTAAGCTTGAAGAACGACCATATATTGGCAAATTCTCTAGATACAGTTAGATTGTGCTGATAGAGTTCTCTGATAAATAATAAAACAAGTAGCCAGAAACATTTCCAACTAGGCATATGCAATCTGTCAGTCATAGCACTCAGACTCACTACTCTTGCCAGCACTTCTCCTCCCTCACAGTCCCCACTCCAGGATGGAAAGGAAAGTGGCACACAGCCTGGCCATGTGTCTAGTTTCTAGTTTTCCTGTTCTGTAAAAAACTAGGGCTTGCACAGCACATGGTAAATTAATTTGCAAAGACTTCTCAACCATCCCCAAGGTGACAAAGAGAATAGTGTAAATGAATACTATGCTACCTGGACAGTGAGAATAAGACAGCTGTGGAGCTTCTCCTTGTGTCTTCTCCAGACCACAAGGGCTGGAAGGGTCTTCTGAGGTAAGGAAGTGTGAGACCTTCCCTCTGCACTACTTTTAGCCAAAAGAAAGCAAGCCTTGAGTGCAGGCCTGATATCCTACAGCAGCCCAGCTGCTCAGAATGCCAGAGAAGATGAGGACTTTGGGGACAGGGGAAATAAAATGTGCTGAGTAATCTAAGTGTCATCAGAATGTTTCTGGTAGACATTTTGGGTTCCCTCACAAGCACGGGGGTGTCTTTTCATAACAACTCCCTGACTAATTCTTATGACACAACTCTAGCCCAGCTAAGGTGGCACTTGCCTCCCCTGGGGGTTTTGGCCACACAGACATGCAACATAGAGCACATCAAGAGCTGCTTTTATTGGCCAAAGAAGCCAAAGACGCTTGCTAACCCTTTAGCAGGGCACTCTCAGAGTTTGCAGCTACGTCACAGACGTGCCAGCCAGAAGCTCAGCACACCGGCCTCTCTGCGGGACACAGCAAGAGCTATTCAGGAAGGTGGGGAGAAGCACGGCCATACTTGCAGCCATGTCTACGTCCCACTTGGACTTCTCAGAAAATCACCCAAAGCCACTATCCCAGTGGCTGACCTTTCTTCCTCAGTCACCTAAGCCAGTCACTCTACAACATTGGCAGCACACTGGGGGCAAACAGAGGGAAGTAGTCTCCTGTTTCTAGATCCTTCCTAGGGCAACTACAACATCTATAACACCCACTCCTTCACCAGCCCTGGCCTGGCTGCAGCTACCAGTGGCCTATCTATTACTGGATATACCATTTAAAACCCACCATTAGGAAATGATAAACAGGCACAAACTCTAACAGAAGACTCTAGGAGATTACTTAAAGTTAACAGAAACAACTGCATTTCATCAATATTAAGGCCAAGGTTGTTGTTTTTTGTTCTTTGTTTTGGTCTCTAGTACTTCCACAAATGTTGTCAAATGCTGACACCCATAGCACGCAATTATCCTCTGAACTTTGGAAAAGATCATTTACCTAAAGTTCAAAATTGGCCAGTGACACAGACCTTGGAGCAGCAGGAGGGGACCCTATAGCAGTCACTTCCAAGCTCTACCAGGAGGTGCGCTTGGCAGCCAGCTGAGACCTGCCCTTGCTGAGCCCTGCAGGGAAGGCACAGCCAGGGAGGATGCTTCCTAGAGTCCCTGGGGCTCCTGGTTAGCCACAGGGCCACTGCAGGAGGAATACGCTCCTCAGTCAGTGAAACAGAATCCCTCCACCAAAAGAAGACAACCAAACAGCTCCAGGGACACTCAGGACCAAGGCAGATGAGAAGTCTCTAATTAATTTTGTGGCCTGTTTTGTTTGTTGGTTAAAAAAAGAGAGAGAGAGAAAGAGAAGAGTAAAAGGAAAGTGCGGTGACATTTACTCTTTAGCCTCAGCCAGTTTATTGTTCATCTCTTTACTTTGCTCCTTGTCATCAGGTTTGGTGGCACCAGTGCCCTCTGTACTCTTTTTCTTGGCGGCCTGGCCCGACACCACCTGCTTGTCTTTGGCCTTCTTCGGGGGCTTATGGCTTGCTGAGGTCTTTTTTGGTTTGGAACTCTGAACACTAGGTTTCTCCACCTGCATGGAGAGATAGACAGAGCACAAATACAGAAACACAAAAGGGAGGGAGTAGGAGAGAGGATTCAGAGAAAAGACATCACAATGTTAATGAAAAGATAACGGTAGTGATGGCGTTTGACACTGGCAGAGCAAAGCCTCTCATTGCTATCTGGGCACCTGGCTTCTCCTGTCTCCCTGGTCACTGTGTGGTAACACTTTCAAAGGCTGCATAGGCCCCGGCCCTGCCCACCCTCTCCCTGGACCACAAGGGGTGGTGGACTAGATGACTCTTTTGACCCCTCCCCGTGGGAAGATTATACCCTGTCACCTCATTCAACACAGGCACGGCATACAGTTTACTGTACTCGGTGGAATGTGAGGAGGACATGGGTTACTCCAGACCCAGGATTCAAGAGTCAGCCTGTTGGGCTGGCAGAGTAGCTCAAGAGGCAGAGCACCTGCCTAGCAAGAGAGAGGCCCTAAGTTCAAACCCCAGTACAACCAAACAAAAAAAAGAAAAGAAAAGAAAGAGTCAGCCTGTGCTTCAGTGATCTCTGTCCTCTGCTATAGGAAGGCACTCCTACCCCAGTCCTGGACTTAAGAGGGAATGAGGAATGGTGCTCAGCCATGGGGGAAGGGTGAGGGGCTCGTGGGAGATGACTCTTGGCTGATGCTGGATGCTGGGTGCCAGGGTGGTGTGCTACTGCTCACAGCTGGCCTTTCCCTGTTTCTGTCTCTGGGATGGTGAGCGCTTATGAACAAATGTCCTTGCTGAGATTTTTGGTCAGGTGACTGCAGGTTCAGCCAGGCCATCAGCACCGCCAGACACAAGCTACTCATCGCTGGCTGGGCCTTGACCAGCTCCCCACAGCAGCTGTCCCAGGGCTACTCCTCTTCCCCCAGGCTTCCAGCTGTAGCTCTGTCCCCTCATTCTGAGGAGATGGCCTTACCTTCTCTTTCTGAGAGAACTCTGGAGCCACTGGGCATGATGGCTTAACATGCCACTCCCTCCCATCCATCTCTAGGTTTAATTTCCCCATTCTTCCCTCCTTCCTTCTCTGAAATCTTCTTTTGTACAATGCCAACTCCATGTCCTGGTCCCACCTCATCTGTGGATGGACAGAGCTGATGTTGGGCCTCCCAGGCTGGCATATTCACTTACTGACATCCAGTAATTTTACCTGCAAATAAGGTAACCAATCTTCCTGGTTTGCCTGGAATGGAAAGGATTCCTGGAACATGGAACTTTCAGTTCCATCTTTCAGCTAAAATGGGAAGCATTCCAGGAAAACTTCACTTAGCTATGAAGTGGTCCTGGCCACATAGAAATCTCCACTTGAGTGCTAGACTTTAGGACAAAGCAGAGAAAAGGTTCTGGAGGTATCTCAGTTCTACAATGTTTTTTGCTTTTATGCATAGGAGAGGTGACCCTTGCCCAATGCCATGTGGTCTGACAGACAGTAAGTGAGGCTGCTTGGTGTGTACCCTTACAACTTCACTAGCTCTCTCTCCACATGCTTCTCACTGGTGAAATCAGACTGAGATGCAAATAAGGCAGGGTAGTGTTAGTATAAGAAAAATCCCTGAATTCTTTAAAACAAATGACTGGGAACACATCTTGTAGTTGATAGACGAGTTGTGACAGACTGGGCACAGCTGGTGGATGGTGTTTATCAAGGGAGGAATGAGCAAGGGCAGATGTGTTTTAGGGCCTAGGGAAAAGAAAAGATTCAGCGGTTGGAGTAGGGTGGAAGGGGAGGCAGGGCTAGGGCCAGATAGTAAGGAAGCCAGACAAGGGGGCCTGCAACCCTGGGCCAGCCCTTCAGGGCAGTAGCCGAGCAATTTTAAAACAAGGGGACTTAGGGTTCAGGTGAGATTTTCTGTTACTTTTTTCCCCTGGATTTCTCAAACCCAGAAGCTAGTTCTCTGGAAATGTGACAAACTTTAAGCTGTTTTTATATTAGGTAATGTTTGTTTCTAACATTTCCTTTGAATTTAACACAGCTTCTGTTAAAGGTGCCCCTGGACCTCTGTGTGCTAAAGAGGAAAGGAGAGATTCAACAGGAGCTGCTGGGGGCTGGCCAGGTAGGCCCTGGCCCCACTCCCTAGCGCTGAGGCAGGCAACTCTTCCAGTGCAGGCTGTGCTGCGGGCTTCCCCAGGAGATCCTTCTCACCTTTGGGGGTTCCTTGAAAGGTTCACTATAGAGGCTGCGTATTCTTCTGCGATCGATGACTTTATTGTCAGCTGTGGTAGGCTTATTGGCCTCCCCTTTGAACTGAGCACTGTAACTGGTCTCATGAGCCATCTTGTCATCTGGAGGCTTGTACTGGGGCTTGGCTTTGATTGGTTTCACAGGCTTGATATCCGTCCATGCTTTGAATTCGTTCCTGTTAGTCGAAGAAAGCATAAGCAATGTGAGACAACACATGCCCAAAAGCAATGCTCCCAATTCCTGTTGCACACGCAGCAAGCTATTTTTTTTTGTTGTGATAAAAAAAGTCACATTTTACAGATATAATGTAGAACCCTGAAATACTGACACATTCTCTTATTGTGCACAATGCAGCAAGCTCTTGATCAGTGCTTTTGGCACCGACTCAAGTACCACTCTGTCATCCCTAAAAGTGACAGCTTTCCATCTTGCAAAGTTGACCCAGGTTATGGCAATAGCAGGAGAGCCTGGAGGAAGCACTCAGGGTCCTTCCCAACCCTGTACCATGCAGTCACAGACAGGCAACTCTCATCTTCAGGCCTTGTTTTCCAGGCTCCAAAATGAGGCTGAAAAACCCAGCCCAGTTCATCTTTCATAAGTTCCACAAATATCAGACAGCTGCTGGGTTAAAGAGTTGTGAACTTGGATGAGATAGGGCATTAGGCACACCGTTGGGCACACTGGCCTATAAATAAATGCCAATTCCCTTCCCCCCTTTTTTCTAGTGAAGAACCTTTGTTTTTCAGAATCTTAAGGATAATTCCTACCTTTGAATAGCAGAGGAATTGCTTCTTATAGTGCCAAAATCACTTTAGATGGACATCCTTGTGGGCTGTCTAAATGTTTGCAGATCTTAAGTAAGCAACATGTCCAAAGCATCGTGTGGATGTCACAAATAGGACTTGTAGGACATTCAAGTGCCTGGATGTGAGTGACTACTGGTCCTTCCCCTTCGTTACCCTTATCAGCTACTTTTTTTGAGTGGATGTGTTAATTTTTCTGCCCATACCAATCCCTCTCCTCTAATTAGCTATTTCTGCTCTGTCATAGGGCTGGAGAATAAACGGCCCAAAATGTTCAAAACAGGGTAAAATAAATATAGGTGGTGCTGGAGCCTGAAAAGGTCCCTCCTGTGTAAGGGAATGGGACTCAGTGTAGAAGGTTTGGACTCAAGGCCTTGCTTGGGCCTGAGTGTGGTCTGGGGCCTGAGCAGCTGTGCTGTGGGAAGCGGGAGTTAGTGCAGGCACCTTGCTGAGCTGGGTTCACGTAAGGCCCTCCTGTAGCCTCACTGACACCCTCCCTCAGGCTCAGAGATGAGTGCCATGGATAAGGAGGCCACAGGGACCGTGGACAGAGCTTCGACTGGATGGAGACATGGGGTCTCGCTCTAGCATTTCCTCTAGCTGCTGAGCAGAACTCCTGCTCTAAGCCTTAGTTTCCTTGTTTGTAAAATAAAAGACTCATGCCAGATGAGGTCCAGGCATGAAGCCTGGTTTTTGTTTTGTTCTGTGGTACTGGGGATTGAACTTAAGGCCTGCATGCTAGGTAAGCACTCTACTATGTGAGCTATGCCCCAGCCCTTTTGGTTTTGTATTTTGCTTTTGAGACAGGGTCTCCCTAACTTTGCCTGCCCTGTCCTTGAACTCACTATCCTCTGGCCTCCACCTCCAGAGAAGTTGGTATTACAGGCATACATTCCATGCCCAGCTTCAAGGCTACTTTTGGATCCTTTCTTCACTTCCTCCCTTCTCTACCTGTTTTAGGTTTAATCAGTTGTCACGACCTGGCTTCTGAACCATTGTGGCTCTGTACACACAGCCTAGGGTAATTTGGGGCACTGACTGCCATCACCTGCCAAAGGCTCCAGGCCCTCCAACCCTTCAGAGCCCCTAAGACAACCTCCTCAAGAGCAACCTGGCTCTTGAGGAGAAGGTGCAGCAACCTGGACTCTCTGCTTCCAGTCCTGTGTGTTTCACAACCAGGACCAAGGTAGGTGTGCCCTGCTCCTAAGCACTGTTTCCTGGTCACCCCTCCCAGGCTAGCATTGCAGCCTCCTGCACCTCTGTAGCGCCCCCCTGAGGACAAGCATCTCACTTGAGAGCAGCATCCACGAGACATGTGCCCCACGGGAAAGGTTTGGTGACCCCTGACCTTGAACACCTTTGGTACACCGTATGAGATGTTCCCCAGGTGTTCTATGATAGGTCTCTGCTGCACCTACAACAGGCTGCTAATTTTAAGCTCAAACTCCATACTTACAACTTTATTAAAAAAACTCTCCTTAAAATGTCCTACAGTCACAAGGAATAACTAATCACGTTATAAAATAAAATTAGCTGCCATTCATTACTTACCTTTTCTAAGCCAGAGGGCTTATTTTGGGGTTGGATATTCTCTACAAACATTACAGCTCTGAAAACACAGTAGTATTCTACCCTTTTATAAAGGAGGTGCCAAGGCTTAGAGAGGTTAAATGGCTTGCCCAAAGCCACAGAGATGACAAACATCAGAGTTGGGGTGTGAGCACAGGTCAGTTGGCTCCCCAGCCCATTTCTTTCCCACTGCACTGGGTTAGCGGTGCAGCATGTCCACATGTCTGCCTGTCCACACCTGTTTGGCCTGCTGCCTACAATGCTGTGGCAGGGTTCAATGACACAGACTGGATGAGGTAACAACTGAGTTCCCCCAGCTCTTGACAAAGAACACTATGGGTCCCACTCTTGGGTCAGTCATGTCCAGTTCCCTGCACCACAGTCCCTTCTTCCTATATAAAGTATTTCCACCTGATCATTCATTCATTCATCCATTCCCTTCACATTTACCAAACACCAGCCATAGGCATGGCATGTGTCCCAGAGGAATGAGGAAGCATGGCTAAGGTGTCTCACTCAGTGATTTGGGACCTGTCCATATATGATCCTAAGAAAAGGAAGAATGAGGCAAATCAAACAGAGCTTAGGAGCAAAGAGTGCTTAATTCTGAAGAGGGGTGAGGAGTGGGGAAAGGGTGTTGAAGGGTAAGGTAGAGAAGTGCACGAAGGGAATTCAGGCACCAATCTGAGCTTCAAGGCAGGTCAGCAGATCAAGGTGGTTGCTTAGGGTGCAGAGGGTGGCTAGAAGCTGGGCTGGGCTGCACAGAGCTAGAATGTCACGTGTAGGTGGGGCAATAAGAGCCACTGAAAGCTCTTGAGCAAGGCAGCACTATTTCTTCCCTGAGGGTGGCCTCCTCTTACCAGATTTTAATGATTCTTTAAGGCCCCACCAGGGGTCTCCTCTTCCAGGAAGCCCTCTTGGATTACTCAGCCAAAGCTTCCCACTTTGGGGTACTGGATCAGTGACCATACTGGCCAACTTTGTAGTTACTGTGAAATTTTACAACTTTCAACTCTTTCATGAGTTCATTTTGTCTTGCTTAAGGGATAAAATATGTAATAGAAAATTCAGCACAGAATCTTACTTTTGCATGAATTCCAGCTCATCTGCATGGCTAGGAAGGCAGGTCCTTGAACTTATTCTAAGTCAGACTGCCGGGTAGGGCTGAGCTGGCGAGGCCCCTGCCTGCCTGTCCCGCCAGCACTCTTCCCATGCCCGCAGCCGCCCCTCAAGCTTTCTTACATACTTCCCAGGCTTAGGGCTTGGCGTGCAGTGGGCAGTTAATGGGAGTAGCCATCATTTGCTTTCACCCCTCGTAAGCTCATGAACCCTTCCTGAACCTTCCTTCCTTGCCCCAGATAGGGCAGGCACTTGCTCTTCAGTGGCATAAGAATGCCTCACTCCAAAACCCTTGATCCTCCCACCACCCAACACCTGGGGGTGATGTGTGGTCCAAGTTCATCTTGAGGGTCCTTCAGGATCGTGACCACTTTGGCTCCTGGCCACAGTCACAAGAAAGAACTTTCCTCTGGCCGGTCTGAGTGTGCACTCTAGTGCTGCTTGCATCTGCAGGATGATTACCCCTGGCATCCCAGAGACGTTCCTCCTTGTATCATGGTGTGTGGAAGTCACAGGAACACGACGGTCTTCAGCTATCACTGCAGGCCCTCTGTCCCTCTGTCCCCACCACAACACATCCATTGGTGGACCCCGTCCTTCATGGCTCAGTGCGTGACTTACTTCCTTCATAATCCCCACAGGGACAGAGGAGGGTCCCCCAGTGGGTGGTAAACTGCATACAAGTGGACCCAATCAATATATTTGACTAATTCCTCCAGGGCCCATTTGTGCTGAGAAAAATGTACAGAGGATAGGCTGGCTAGCCCGAGCTCTGACCAAGGAATGACAGAGCCAGATCCAGCTTGAGCCATTCATGGAGACATGGTGGCGAGTGTTTTAGGCTGCTCCCCGGCAGCCTTGGACAGCTGCCAACCACCTTCAGTGCAGCTGTCACAGAGGGATTTTAGGTTTTTGTTGACCAGGTGATGTTTTTAAGGGAGTCAATAGACACTCTATCTTCACTCCTGTCCTGCCCTCTGTCCCTCCCTTTGCTGGGCCTCAGTGCCACCTCTCCTTAGACCAGCACATCACATCACGGCATCAGAGTCCCGGTTGCATCCACCACCCCCCGCCCTCCACAAACACACACCTCTGATTTCCCTGGCACACAACGCAGGATAAATCTCACCTCAGCCGTGTACATGGTGCCCCCACCAAAGCCCTCTAAGAGGCTGCTGTCTCTTCTAGGATGAAGTCTGCGTTCTGGTCCCTTTTAGCTCCCACATGCTGAGATGACATGGAGGGTTCCAGCTTTATTTCTTAGCATCTGTCAGTCATGTAGTGAGCATTTTGTGTGTCTGGTGCTGTGCAACACGCTTTAGATGCATCATGTCCTGTGATCCTCACCACAACCCTTCATGGAGGTGATGCTACCCATCTTGCTGGTAGAGAACACTGCTCCTTGCTGCCCTTCTCCAAACTCATGCTGCCCTTTCCTTCCACTGAGCTCTGCTCAAGCTGCCACTCTCAGACCTGGCGCTCAGTCTTCTCCAAACCTCCAGCTACTGAAATAAGCCGCAGCCTCCCTCCAGTGCGCTCCCCTCCGCATGCCCCAGCCCACTTTCCCTTCCCCCAGCGGAATGAAGTGTCCTTTCGCAGTCTGCCTCTCAGACCCTGCCGGCTACCTGAGTAGAAATCCTCCTACCCTCTCACACCTGCTCACCTGAGGGTAAGGAGCCTCCAA